TTCAGATGGAGAAAATAAACAATCCAAACATCTTCATCATCATCAAGATGATACAATATTAACTTCAACAACAAATAGTTCATTTAATATTCAACAACCAGGTTTACAACATATGAATCGATGTTATACATCAGTAAATAGTGCTGATTATCGAAATTATTTTGCTAAGCAACGAGCTGAAATTGAAGCTACATCATTTTCAAGTAGTGACTTGGAACCAACAACATTCTCAAATGTAACGAAAGATAATCGATTAGTAGAAATTTTTCTCAATATACAATAGTGAATAATGACTGATGGTATCTCCCGGTGCCTACATTAGTTTCCTACTGCTATATTCATCAACCTTTTTAATATGATCTTTTTTAAAAAACTTGTTTATCTTAGATATTCAACAACAATTTCATCACGATATCATGGTAGAAATCGATCTCGTGGCAGACAACATCAATTACCATCAGGACTTGATCAAGTACTGTTCTCTATTCGTTTCTTCGAATTTTTTTATTTAATAAATTTAGGCATCATCATCCAGCAGTCTAAATTCAGATTCAACAATGGCATTAGATACTCTTACGGTAACACTTCATTTAAGTATGTATTTGTTTTATCGTTCATTGTGTAAATTAACAGAATGTTTTTATCAGACGCAAATAACTATTTGAGTATTAGTATTGTTGGTCAAACCGATAAAACAGGTTCAACTGATGGAGGAATTTATGTTAGTTCCATAACGAAAGGGTAAAACTCTATGAAACTAAAAGTATATCAAATAAATCTTGGTGTTTCAGAGGTGTAGTTGCAGAAGATGGTCGTATTGAACCAGGCGATATGATTCTTCAAGTAAATAATATTAGTTTTGAAAAATTATCAAATGATGATGCTGCTGAAATTCTACGTGAAGCTGGCAAAACACCTGGGTATATCTAATTAACTAGTCTTCAATATTCTCTAATGTGTTTTTCTTTTTCAAATAGATTAATTAAATTAGTTGTAGCTAAATGTTGGGATTCAACTCCACGAGATTACTTTACATTACCTCTTCATGAACAACCACGTCCTGTTGATCCATCATCAGGTCATGCACATACACAAACTGTACAAAATACATATGATAATTCTCAACAACAAATCTTACCTCATAATCGACAATCGTTACTTAATTCAAAAGCAAATATGAGTTCAACCATATCAAGTACAAATAATACAATGGTTGATAATGAACGTATGTCGTTTGATTTTGTAAAGAAAAAGAATTTTTCTCTATGTGTTTATTTTAGGTTTTAGTCTTGATCTTACTTATATGATTGGTTCTGACATGGATACTATTGTGCGAGCTATGGCTAAACCTGTTCAGGTTTAGATATACGTGACAGAATATGGTTTAAAATATCAATACCAAAATCATTTCTTGGTATGAAAGAAAAAAAAATTATTTTTAAAAATAATTAATTTATATGAATATTATTTTAGGTTCTGATTTAGATACTTGGTTATTTAAAAATGTCGATGGATTTCTTGTTCGAGATGATGCAATAGTCTATGCCTCAAAAATGCTTAAAATAGGTTATATTAGACATCCATTTCATAAATTAGGGTGTGGGTGTGGG